CAATTCCTAGCACATCATCAGAGATGATACTTCACTTCCTTTACAGAATCCAGCTTTAATTCACATAAACATAGGCCTGAAGCCAGGAAAGGGAAAAAGAATGAGCATAAGGCCTACATGACATGGGTGTGAATGGGAACCAGACTACAGGGGGTTAAATAAAGTTAGAGAAGGTAAGGAGGGGAGGGTCACTTACCCTATTGGGTGGAAGAGGTCTGCAAAGAGGGGCTTCAGAGGGTGGTCTGTGAGGAGGGGCTTCAGAGGGTGGTCTATGAGGAGGGGCTTCAGAGTGTCGTCTATGAGGAGGGACTTCAGAGGGTTGTCTATGAGGAGGGGCTTCAGAGGGTCGTCTATGAGGAGGGGCTTCAAAGGGTCGTCTATGAGGAGGGGCTTCAGAGGGTCGTCTATGAGTAGGGCTTCAGAGGGTCGTCTATGAGGAGGAGCTTCAGTGGGTCATCTTTGAGGAGGGGTTTCAGTGGGTCATCTATGAGGAGGGGCAAAGCAGATCCAGTCAGAGATCTGCAGATGTGAAGCGAGCTTCCCTTCCATTCACCTTATGATAATTTCTTTTAGATTGGCTGGCCGCAAGTTACGGCAGCTTGTTGGTGGTTTGTATCCTTAAAGTCGGGTTTCAGCTGTTGGTTATTGGTAAAAGAATGGAGAGCCCATTTATAGTGTAGGTGTCCTCCATGTGGTGAGGTCCACCGGTTGCAGCCTGGTAGTATTGAGTTAGTAGTATTGACCAGACCGGATAGTATGAGATTAATATTGTCTAAGAGGTGGTGTATTGCGGCTAGGGAAATCACTTACAAAATGTTGCCGCAGATACAGGATTGTGTTATGGTTCATAGTGCCTTCAAGGACCCAAAACCTAATTTTCATCAGTCTTGTTATTGACTATTGTTATTTATAATTAGGTTATTTACACTGGTCTTCCAAATCCTAATAAAAGGCTGCTTTGGCCGTTAGAACTCCATGCCTCTGTATTGGTATTATTGGTTCAGCAGGGGGGACAATGGGATTGAAGGGGAGCAGATAAGGGTTGAAGGGTAGCAGGTACCTCTGACCTACCTTGGTCAGGAGTAGTCTTGATGGGCTGGGTAACTTAAAAAGTAACAGAAGAGATAAAAGACTTATCTATACTGGAGAAAATGCTGATCCAGGCTCCCTTTACTTCTGCATACATAGCCAGGCCATTCACGTAGCAATTTGATGGAGCAACTGCATGTTCAAAGATATAAAACGGTTGTATAAAATGACCACAAAGCGATGGGATCTAAGTTCCTCGACTGGACATAGTGGAAAAAATGAAATTGCTTACTTGGGATCATATTCATGAATCCTGGTAGTTTCAAAGTGGTTGAAATGTAGTGAGACTTGCCACATTTAATGGCAGCTTTAAGCTGGGCATACACTAGTAGAGTTTCTTACAAACGTTTTTATGAACAATCTCATCAGAACCTCAAATAATGCCACCAGAGACTTGACAAATGCTTCTGAAATTTCGTGTGATATTACATTCAATTTTGGAATGAATGGAGTTACCTGAACAAAATAATAACAGTGAATGTGGATTTTGTTCAGGAAAATGCCATTCATTCCAAAATTGAATTTAATATCACAAAAATTCTTTTACATTTTTTTATCACTATGGTTCAAAACGATTGTTGATTTGACCCCATTAACTAATAGGTAGTCAAACGAACGTTCAGAAAATAATTTTTTTTCTAAATAAATTCTAACCTTGTATAGCTTAATTCATTGCTCAAGTCATCTCTCTTAAAGTAGAGATTTATATTTCCAAAGTTACTGGAGGGAGCATGGAACATCATTTTCTCCAGGAAGGATAGGTATTTTAGCTCTTCTGTTATCTTTATTAAGACTTTTAACATAGAAATATTATCACATATGAGGTCTGTTTTAGGAAAGACTACCTGTATACCATTCACTTCATATTTGTTATGTATTAAAATGGACATTCAGGCATGGCAAGCAAAGTTAAAGGAGAACTATGGGGTTAAGGCTTTTCCCATAGTTCTCCTTAGGGTAACGGGAGGTCGCAAACTAGCGCCCTCCTGTCACCCTAGGTTCAGTATACCGCGAGCTGTAGCTCGCGGTATACTGAGACGCCGCAGCTGAAGCGGTATACTAGATCCGCCCAGCTGCGTGACTGACAGCTGGCTCTGCCTATCTAGAGGCAGAGCCAGCTGTACCCGCCCCCCCCCTTTTTTTTTTAGATCAAAACAAAGAGGAGGATTGGGATTCCCGGACTTTGCACTTTATCATAAAGCGGCCTTAATATCAAGATTATTGGATTGGTTACATAGTAGTCAGAATAAAGGGGTGGTAAAACTAGAGATGGAAATTTCCCCTATACCTCTGACGAGTATCCCCTGGCTGTTAAAAGAGAATAGACCACATCTTTCAAATGTCGGTAATTCAAATATGGGATAGGTCTATTACTAAATATAATTTATCTGCTAGACCTGGGACCCTGACTCCCATAATGGGAAATCCACAATTCCCACCCGGTATGCAAGTGTTCTCCTTACTGAAAGATGAGAACATCCCATATACACGTGTTTGGCAGGTTTTGGAACAAGGTAAAGATGAAGTAAAATCTGAGTTAAGACCAGAAAGACAAAGTAATAGGAAATTGTGGATAGATGCGGTCCAATTATTGTATTATATAAGATTCCTTAGGGCTCTTAATCCCCTCGACAGGCCACTAAAGCCATTCGAGAAACTCTGTATAACAGAGACACCTATTACACATACTTTATCGGTGGTCTAAGGCATGCTGAGGGAGGTGGAAGATAAGGGACATACAAAATATATGAAAAGATGGGAACAAGATATGAGGAGAGAAATATCAGAGAAGGAATGGAGTAGAATATTTAAAATGACACATAGTTCAGTCATGTCTTCATTCCATCAAGAAACAATTTATAAAGTACTCTCTAGATGGTACAGGTGCCCAGAGGGGATTAAACACATAAATCCAGAGATGTCTGACAGGTGTTGGAGATGCGATATAGAAGAAGGAACATATCTGCATATCTGGTGGAGTTGTCCTAGGTTATAACCATTCTGGGAGTCAGTGTTTGAAATATATCGCTGTGTGGAGGCAACAAATACAGAAAAGGATCCCCTAATTGCACTATTAATATTGATACCAGGTTCAATAAAAAAAATTAAAAATGATATTCTAAGATTTATGTTGGTAGCCGCTAAAATAAGTATATCACGGGGCTGGAAATCAACAGTCCCACCCACAATAGAAAACTGGTTAAATATCATAGAAGAAATAAGGTATATGGAGGAACTAAGTGCAAAGGATACAGATAGGAACGATAGTTATAAGAAGATATGGGAGAAATGGGAATGATTTAGACAATCAGAGGAATTTGAGAAAATGCTAAAAGAAGGGTAAAGGCAGCAATTAAAAAAGATCAAGGGGTAATGCATGTATGGCCAAATAGGAAAAAAGAAAATATATAGATGTCCGTGATGTCACCAGATCTCCGACGGAAGACCCGGAAGCCGGCGGAGAGGTGAGTACGGTTTAAAAGAACTTTGATCGATCAAAAAAATTAGCGATTAATCGAGGGATTAATCGTTAATTTCCGCAGCCCTAATATAAATGATTACAAGATATTTAGATAAACATAGTATATGGCCTGTATGAATGGAAGATAGAAAGGAATGAGGATGGTTTTCTGGAGGGGAAGATGGGATTAAGAAGTGAGGACACAAGGTATATTTAGAAGAAGTAGAAGGGGAATGGCGGTACACATAGGGTATAGAAATGTAGGTCATTAAATTGTAGTTAGGATACACACTAAAAATTGGTTCACTATACTGTATATAGGGGAAGGCGGGAGGAAGGAACAAGGTATTAAGGGTTTATTGTTTAGTTATCACATTAGCAAACACTTGAGGAATATGTATAATAAGAATAGAGGAATGTAGATAAATTAAGGGGAAATAGTGAGGTCTACATATATATCATTATAGGTTTTAGTAGTCACAACACTAGAGGGGTATTCTAAACGAATTATAAGGGTTTGAAGTCATAAAGTATGATGGATGACTAGGGATGAATATTGGAAGAGGGTGAAAGTTGAAGTTTTTTTCAATTAGAGCTATAAATAATTATTAAAACTAAGAGACAATTTGAAATCAATGTTTATGAATGTTTTGTATAAATGTACTTTTATGGAAACAAAACAATACAAATATATTAAACAAAAAAAAACAAACCTATTACAAGTAAAACATTAAACAGTTATAACCCCGTACTGATAACATTGTTGTAATTGGAGGTTGTGTGTATATTCACCTATTTCATTTCACTTCATCTATATTGCGTTACTAAGGAAGACATAGTAAAGCATGACGGCCTATGACTGACAGATGAAAGCTCAGTTCACTAAGATTGTATGAGCTGTTAAACATAAAGGTCTACGACGGTTATGTTTTCACATGAAATGGATATTTTATTTCAATTTCTCATGAATCCGTATTTTTCCTCTATCACAAATGCCTTGAGTTAGAATCACTACCATCTACATTTCTCTTGCACATGATTGGGTATTGTGAATGGCAATTCACCTTATTTATTTAGTTTCCAGGAGCTCTCCATCTTCTAGCTTGGAGAAGGGAGGAAGGAGGAGGAGGGAGCAGGCAGTGACTTGCCTTGCTGTGCCTATGTGTTTGTGGAGACACACACAACTTACTAGCACACACAAGGGTGGCTCCATAGGACCCTGCAAGAGAAAGGAATATCAGGGCCAGTGCTCAGGGGACCAGATAGTTATACAAGCATCCATTGTAAGTGATTAATTCACCATTTGAAATAGCTTAAAAACCTTTTTGACCTCACTCTCACTTTAAGGCCAGCATACTAACACTTTGATTAGATCTGAAACATTTAAACTGATGTTTGTGAACACATACTGTATCTAAAATAAACATTTCCTGAACGTTTTCTCCTTCAGGCGAAGGGATCACTCTACTCGTCCCAGAGCCCGTCATAAACGCCACAGTGACGCAGAATGTGCTCCTGTCCATCGACTTCACCTGTAATGGAACTGCATTGATTCAGTGGCAGTTCATGTCCAGCTGGAGGTCACAATGCATCATAGAGTGGAAGATGAACTCTTACGTCAACATCTCCCGCGGTTACAGCGGGCGCGTTCACAACTACGACAATGGCTCCATACAGCTCCTGAACGTGGAGGTCAGAGATTCTGGGTTCTACATGATCACCCTGACCGATGACATTGGCAACATCAAGCAGAGCACAATCATCCTTAATGTCCACGGTAGAAGCTCTTCTCTGAATTTCTGATGATTCATTTAGATACCGTATTTTTCGGTGTATAAGACGCTACTTTTTTATTAAAATGTTTACCCAAAAATAGAGGGGCGTCTTATACAGGGGGGCCCGAGAGGAGAACCGCGGTTGCGAAAGTGCCGATACCACTGCAAACTAGTCTCACGAGTGAAACTTCGGATTGCAGAGACAAGACAAGTCTTCCTCCAATCGTAAATCTTTTGTACCTGACGGCAGCTGTTGCTGGGGAGAGTGGAAGAAAACTGTTATCTTGCCTCTGCAATCCGCTCTCCCCAGCAACAGCTGACGCCAGGCACAAAAGATCCACCACTGGAGGAAAACTGTTATCTTGCCTCTGCAATCCGCTCTCCCCAGCAACAGCTGACGCCAGGCACAAAAGATCCACCACTGGAGGAAAACTGTTATCTTGCCTCTGCAATCCGCTCTACCCAGCAACAGCTGACGCCAGGCACAAAAGATCCACCACTGGAGGAAAACTGTTATCTTGCCTCTGCAATCCGCTCTCCCCAGCAACAGCTGACGCCAGGCACAAAAGATCCACCACTGGAGGAAAACTGTTATCTTGCCTCTGCAATCCGCTCTACCCAGCAACAGCTGACGCCAGGCACAAAAGATCCACCACTGGAGGAAAACTGTTATCTTGCCTCTGCAATCCGCTCTACCCAGCAACAGCTGACGCCAGGCACAAAAGATCCACCACTGGAGGAAAACTGTTATCTTGCCTCTGCAATCCAATCATAAATCTTTTGTACCCGACGTCAGCTGCTGCCGGGGAGAGCGTGTAGCCAGTGCCCAGAGCTGTAATGTCGGAGCATAAAGTGATTGACTCAGAGGTAAGTGTGATGCATTATATCATTTAAAATATTGATTTCTGAATTTTGGGTAAGAAAAGTTGGGGGCGTCTTATACATGGGGGCGTCTTATAGACGGAAAAATACGGTATTTGTTAACTTACTTTAATTTGTCTCATTGACATCTGTCTCTCCTTTCAGAGATCCGCTATGAGGAGTTTTATTTTGTGGCTGTGTTCATAGCGTTCCTGGCTGCTGGGTCGGCAGTTTTAGTCTGTCTGATGTGGGTGTGCAATAAATGTATCAACATCTGCCAGAGGAGGAAACAGCAACGCAGAGGTAACATTTGTGTTCCATATTAGTATGTGTTGTGTGTCTACACACTGTGCTAGTACTAATAAGATATGTTAGGCTGGTGGCCCTGAGTTGGGGATTCTTTACCACTAAGACATAAAACAGAGGAGGACCCACAGTCAATGTCACTTCATAGGTATTATATTGCTCCCACGTCCTGGCCTGTGATCACAGAGTCTGGCAGAGGGAAGTGTTCCAGTACCAATTTCCTTTGCAGCTCAGAGATGTCATGTGACTAAATTCAGGTAGATGCAAAGGAAGCTGATTCTGGAAAATGTAAAAACTTTTGAATTATTAACCATTTTCCTTAGAACACATTCTTCACCACATCCACCAATCTCTAAGGCACCATGGTATACTCTACTGAGCCCACAGAAATTTGCCGCTACCATAAAATGGAAAAATGGTTGATTTTTTTCCTCCCAGGCCAAAGTTTCCCAACCCTCCCCTCCACTGCATCAGCTCTTTTATCAGGCAGACAGTGAGGCAACATTTCAGAGCCCCTACATCAACACCTTCAACAGGCAGACGATGAGGCAATGTTGTACATCCTTACATTAGGTCCTTCATCAGGCAGACAGTGAGCAAACTCTTCAGAACCCTTCATCATCTCCTTCATCAGGCAAACAGTGAGGCAACGTTTCAGAGCCCTACATTAGCTCCTCCATCAGGCAAACAGTGAGCGAACTCTTCAGAGCCCTGCATAAGCTCCTATATCAGGCACACTGTGAGGCAACGTTTCAGAGCCCTACATTAGCTCCTTCATCGGGCAGAAAGTGAGGCAATGTTCTGCATCCATACATCAGATCCTTCATCAGGCAAACAGGTAACATTTCAGAGACCTATATCAGCTCCTTCACTAGGACAGAAAGGTAAAGTTATAGAGCCCTGCATTAGCTGCAGTCTGTCCGCCTGATGAAGGTGCTGTTATAGAGCACCAATACTTGTATTTGACTAATAAATGGCTCTATTAGTAGCATATCATGTGCTGGTGATGGTGAGGTTGAAGTGTATGTCTGGCCAAAAAAAAAAACATGTTCAGTAAATCTCTACAATACATTCACATTTCCCCATGTTTTTTCCTGTTTGAGCTGACAAAGCTGATTCTGCTTCAGAACACTCCCACATCTCCTTATTATAAAGGAGGTCTGTAATCCAGCAGAAGAGAACTGGGTAGGGCTGAAAACATTGCTTTATATTTCATTAAAGCAGGGTTAGAGTGCACAGGAAGTTAAAGGGGTAGTAAACTGCTGCATCCTGATAGGGGTAAGAAGACTTTTTTAGCAAAAGAAACATTGCATGTTCTCTTCTGCCAACGATCTCTATCTGCTCTATGTTTTCACTTTACTTCTTCTGTTCTATAAATTCTATAAAGAGCTTCATTTTATTTTGCCCAGAAGTACACTTGAAACTGTTGAATGTCTTACCACATGAGTTGGTAATGGAAAAAAGAAAGAAAGAATGGCAGGATGATTATTTTGCAGTTAATAATTTCCATAAATTCCCTTAACTAAAGAAAACAATATTTGATCCAACTGAAGCTTTTTTTCCCCCTCCTGTGTGCAAGATTGGCAACAGTTGCCCTGGAGGTTTTGTTTGCCCTCCCCTGAAATAAAGCAGCAGAAGTTGTGAAAAGATAACACAAAGTAAGATATCAGTCTTTTTCCAACTGTGTTACCTTGTCTATCAGTCTTATAGACTGACTGCAAGCCGTACAACCTCTACGAGACTTTTCATATAATAATCTCAATAACTCTCCCCCTCTGCCTCTTTGTCTTTCTATCTTCCTCTCTCTCTCTATCCCTGTCTCTCTATCTCACTGTCTCAGTCTCTTCTTCTATCTCCATGCCTATGCCTCTGTCTCTGTCTCTTCTTCTATCTCCATACCTATGCCTCTGTCTCTTCTTCTATCTCCATGCCTATGCCTCTGTCTCTTCTTCTATCTCCATGCCTATGCCTCTGTCTCTTCTTCTATCTCCATGCCTATGCCTCTGTCTCTTCTTCTATCTCCATGCCTATGCCTCTGTCTCTTCTTCTATCTCCATGCCTATGCCTCTGTCTCTTCTTCTATCTCCATGCCTATGCCTCTGTCTCTTCTTCTATCTCCATGCCTATGCCTCTGTCTCTTCTTCTATCTCCATGCCTATGCCTCTGTCTCTTCTTCTATCTCCATGCCTATGCCTCTGTCTCTTCTTCTATCTCCATGCCTATGCCTCTGTCTCTTCTTCTATCTCCATGCCTATGCCTCTGTCTCTTCTTCTATCTCCATGCCTATGCCTCTGTCTCTTCTTCTATCTCCATGCCTATGCCTCTGTCTCTTCTTCTATCTCCATGCCTATGCCTCTGTCTCTTCTTCTATCTCCATGCCTATGCCTCTGTCTCTTCTTCTATCTCCATGCCTATGCCTCTGTCTCTTCTTCTATCTCCATGCCTATGCCTCTGTCTCTTCTTCTATCTCCATGCCTATGCCTCTGTCTCTTCTTCTATCTCCATGCCTATGCCTCTGTCTCTTCTTCTATCTCCATGCCTATGCCTCTGTCTCTTCTTCTATCTCCATGCCTATGCCTCTGTCTCTTCTTCTATCTCCATGCCTATGCCTCTGTCTCTTCTTCTATCTCCATGCCTATGCCTCTGTCTCTTCTTCTATCTCCATGCCTATGCCTCTGTCTCTTCTTCTATCTCCATGCCTATGCCTCTGTCTCTTCTTCTATCTCCATGCCTATGCCTCTGTCTCTTCTTCTATCTCCATGCCTATGCCTCTGTCTCTTCTTCTATCTCCATGCCTATGCCTCTGTCTCTTCTTCTATCTCCATGCCTATGCCTCTGTCTCTTCTTCTATCTCCGTGCCTATGCCTCTGTTTCTTCTTCTATCTCCGTGCCTGTGTTTCTTCTTCTATCTCCATGCCTCTGTCTCTGTCTCTTCTTCTATCTCCGTGCCTGTGTTTCTTCTTCTATCTCCATGCCTCTGTCTCTGTCTTTTCCTCGATCTCCCAGTCTCTGTCTTTCTCTTGATTGTATTCTCCCCTCTCTTTCTCCATGTCTCTTGCTCTCCTTCTGTCCGTCACTCTATCCCTCTGTCTCTCTCTAGTCATCTCTCTGCCTGTTGTCTGTATGTCTCTCTCTCTTTTTCGGTCTTCCTCCCTTTATATCCCTTCTATCTCTGTCATATTTCTTACCATACTGTTGTAATGTCCTGATGTCACCATGGCTGTGTTCAATTTGGGAGTACTTCTGCCTGATGTAGGTGTGTCTGGACTACTTAATTTAAGATAAACAATTACAGAAGTATATTTGCATTCTTTAAAATGAACTGGGAAAAAAATAGCGTGTACACATCAGTCCTATTATGCAGATATCCCTCCACTTCCTGTTCTGGTGACAACTGTCAAATCTTGCATTTCCTTAATTTTGTGTCCAGGTGACAATGGTCTTCATGGCAATTAGAAAGAGTGACACAGACAGAATTAAAAGCCAGATAGATGTTCTAACCCTTCCTTACTCTACCCACAACTGAAAACATTTTGACTACACAATACACTTTAAAACGAAACCAGGTAGATTTAAAAATAGCATTTAATATATTTTTTTGCAGCAAGCTAGTATAAGTACCTGTATCTGCCTCTGTATACAGACTGGGAGAGGGAGGTCCAGCACTCTATGCTTATCTTGGCTCTATTGCTTTGCATCAGGGAAGAGCAGAGGGAAGGCTTCATCAGTGTGCTGCTCCTTTATACCCCAATCACAGGCTGCGGTAGACCCTTGACCATTATGTATTGCTGAACTGCAGTGTGAAAGGAAGAACAAGACCTGAGCTATGTTTTCTGCCAGGGGCGTCTTAACCCTTTTGCTGCTGCTGACGTATGTGATGGACTGCCTGATACCCCGACTGGGTACCTCCATCAGAAATCAGCTTCCTACACTCTGTAACCGGAAAATCATAAATACAGCCCCAAACCTTCCCCTAAAGACCTGGCAGGACTAGTATCTTAGGGTAAAAACCAAGAACTGACTTTATTGAAAACCAGCACAGTATTTATATAGTTCTGGTGGTCTAAAAACATAATACGATCAAACATTAACAGAATGCAAACAGACATCCCCCTTCCCTCGCCCAACCCCCCCTGTCTTAATGAAAGAATAGGGAGAGAGGAGACACATATGATGGAATTATCTCTTGAGTGTCTATGATAATGTGCTCAGCTACATCTAGTGACAAGTTAATCCCATTGGTAACTCAATCAGACAACTGGACAAATAGACTTCCATTTAACTGGTTAATCTTTTAGTCAAGTCCAAGTCCAGAGTCTGGTCCAGGACATGATACTGGGGTATAGGAAAACACAGTCTCAGCTACCCACGTATCCCCACATAATTAGGAAATTGGTCTCTGGGGTCCTCTTGATCCATGGAGCACAAACAGGGGGTCCCACACAGCCCAAAGCATAAGTGGCAATCCCCTGTTAAGACAGTTGTCACAACATCATCTATGTTCAAATACCAGGGATCCCAACCTGAAATAAGTCATTTCAGGGAGGCACCCTTCTCATTTCAGGAAGGTGCCCTCTGTTAACACCCCCCCTCCTCTCTGCGTTTGGGGGTGCAACAAGGAAGAGAGCACCCTCTGAAATGATGGCAGATAGCAAAGACGCTATTGCTTCCTTTGCTATCTGCTGTTTTTTTTAGTATTCTGACAGCTGCTGTCAGAATAAAAAAAAAACGGCATATGAATGAATAGCTAGATGGCTATTGGCTATTTCAGTTTGCAATAGCCAATAGCAAGCTGGCTATTGCACCCGCCCACTGCTGCTGTCAGTTGGCATGAGGACCTGATGGAGAACTTCAGGTCCACCTTTGCTGATTGATAGCAGCAGTGGGCGGGGGGCAATAGCTAATCTGCTATTGGTTATTGCAAGTTAAAATAGCCAATAGCAATCTAGCCATTCATTCCTATGCCGTTTTTGTTTTTTTTCCTGACTGACCGATGT